TATGTTTCTAGCGGCCTGGGCTGCGTGAGTTTCCTCCTCCTTCTCTTCCTGCAGACTCCATGTATATCCTTATCCGCCCGCCGCCTGCCCCCCCCCCCCTCCACCTCCCCCCCCCCTCCCGCCTCTTCATGCAATGTATAATATTTCTCCATGTAACATGTGTGGACGTTCTATCGTCGACGTTGCGCAATGCGCGGCGGGAATCGGGCGCGGCGCGCGTCGCGGCGAAATGTCGATATCTCCTCGCCGCCGTGCATTTTTGAAACATGAAGCGTGCGTTCCCGCCTTGGCGCGGCGAGCGCCGATTGCAGTGCGTTGTTGGTGCGTGCTTCCGTCGCTCGCCCGCGGCGTTCCCCGTCTTACTCGCCCTTGCACATTGGATTGGTTTCTTTCATTCCTTCTTCCCACCGACACTTCGTCGCCATTGTCCCCCCTCCCCCCACGCCTTCTTCTGGTCTCTCCCCATCCAGCCCCCTTGATCAACCGATCTGGTGTCCGCGCCGCCTGATGATGTAGAGGGGGCCCGCTGCTCATGCGCGCGTGGGGCTCATGGGGCCCGCGGGGCCCGTCAGGGCGAGCAAGGCTCATGGGGTTCCTGCGACGAACAGGGGCGGTAACGATTATAATGCCTACCGATTAGGCTCGCGGGGCGCATGGGGATCATGGGGCCCCAGAGGCCCGTCGTTTTCGCGGGCTTCATAGGACTCACTCGGCCGATCGGCCTCGCTGGGCTCATTCGGCCCACATGGGTACGTGCGAGTGCGGCGCGAGTGTCGTGAGGAGCAGGGCCTCATAGGGCCCGCGGGGCCAGTCGGCTCTATATGGTTCACTCAACAAAGAGGCCTCATAGGATTCTGATGGCCCATCGGCCTCCCAGGGTGTGTTGCCCGTGCCGCGTGGGCCTCGTGATGGGGCCAGGCTTCATAGGGCTCAGAAGGCCCATCGGGCTCATCGGGCTTATCGGCCGCATCGGGCTCATAGGGCCCGTCGGCCTACTGGGCTCATAGGGGCCATCGGCCCCGTGAGGCTCGCAAGGCCCATCGGCCGCATTGCGCCCGTCAGGGCTGAGACGCGCAATAGGGGCTGCAGGGCTCGCAGGGTTCAGCGTCATAAGGATCATGGGGTCACAGGGCCCATGCAGGCCATCGGGCTCCTGGGGGTCACGGAGTTCCTGCGTGCGATCGACCCCGTGGGATAGACAGGGCCTGCCGGCCTCTCGCGCGGGCTTCAGGCAGCCTGGGGCTAGGCTCATGCAGAACGCGGCCTGGCTTGCTCGCAGGGCTCGTCGGCCTCGCGGCGCTCATGGGGCGCCGCCAGCGTCGCGGGGCTCACTGGGCCGATCGGCCTCGTTGGGGCGAAGGGGGGGCAACAGGGGGGGGAGGGGCAGGAGGAGGATGGACTTGACCTCTTCCCGAAGTTCAGTTCTCCAATGGCCGGGGGGCAGACGTGCGATCGACCGCGTCCTGATCCCCGCGCGTGTCTGCGCTTCCTCCTACCTCGACATCCTGCGTCGTGATTTGTTTAGTGCTGGCGTTTGTCTCGCAGAGAGCTCTCCAGATAACGCGCTATTATCCACTCGCACTGTGCCGCGCCCAGTAGAGGGCGCGCTTCGACCTTCCTCGCGCCGCCCACGACGCCCGCTATTTGGAAATTATTCACCCCCGAGACTGCGAGACCTACATCGCCCTGCGAGCGAATGCGCGGCCTTTACGAGGAGGGCGCAAAACAACTTATGTTCAAGCGTCTCACTGCTTTTTTTCTCCTCCTGAGGACTAGCTCCTCCGAGTCGTCGCACGTCGCGCGGCGAAGTTTTGCGTCGGCGACAGCTTCGGAGAAAAATGCCGGCGCGCAGGGAAGGGTGGTGGTGTGTGTGTGTGTGGGGGGGGGCGCGGAGTAGACCTCGCTTCCAAGTCCCACCCGGAGGCCCCGCTGGGCCCTGGCGCGCGGCGCCAGAGGCGCGTTCCGGGAAGCCCTCCACGGGGCGTGCCCCAGAGATCTCCCCGGCGCAAGGCTGGGTGGCCCCGCTGGGGCCGAAGCGATAGAGGATGGGCCGGCGCGCCGTTTGTTCCCAGCACTTAGGAAAATCACTTCGGCCGCGCGCTGTGTCGAGGTAGCGGGGGGTAGCCGGCGGCGGGAAGGGGTGCGCGCAGGCGCCTTCGGGTTGGGGCTGGGGCGGGGAATGTAAGGGCAGCGGGGGTTGATGTGCGAGCAAACGTGTTTGCGAAATATTAACTGGAGCTGTCCTGATACTTGGGGGGGGGGGGGCATTGTCCGTCGCCGCGCGGCTCAAGGAGGCCGCGGGCGAGCGTGGATGGCGCCCGCGCGCCAAGTCCCCATTTAAGTTTTTTTTCGCTGCCGGGGCAGTTGGTGCAGCAGCGGGCTGAGCCAACTGTGCCGGGCCAGCGCGCGGCGGGGAGGTTGCTCGCCCAGCCGGGGGCTGGGCCGGCCCCTCCAGGTCGCCGCGCGCCGCGCGGCGAAATTTTGCATCGGCGCCTTCCAGACGAAGGAAGCTCCGAGAATGGCTTATGCGGGCGCGCCCGGCGCGACGATCCCCGCGTCGATGAGGTCCAGGGTGAACTGGGCGTAGATGTGTCTACCTCGAAGACTCTGGTCGACGCGCGGCTCGATGGCGCTGCTCGGGGCGCTTGTCCTCCTCAGAAGCCGCGCGCGCCGGCGTGCCCATTGATCCAGCTCCTCGCCCGCCAGGGGCGCCGAAATTTCGCGCCTTGGGCAGGGCGAGGGCGAGGGGGCGAGCTCCCTCTGGTACTTGGCCTGGGGCCCAGCGTCGACGTGGTCGCGCCCCGGAGCGGTGCCGCGCAGGTCCTGGTGGGCTGTCGCGGGAGAACGGGTGGGAGGTCCAGCGTCGCGCGCGACTCGACGAACGCGCGAGAGCCCCTGAGCCTGCCCAAGAGACAAAAAGTGACCCGCTTCTGGAGCCGCGCGAGCGCTGCGGCTCGGGTCCGCGGAGACCAGGCTGTCGGCCGCTGCGGCGAGTGGCTGCGAGAGCAGCAGGTCCCGCGGAGCCGTCCGGGATGCAGTCATCATGGCCCCGACCCGCGGCCGCGGGCCCTGTCGCCCTCGCGTCGCCCTTGTATGAGATCTTCGCCCGGGGCTTGCGCAGCTCCTCGGCCTGCTGCTGCGCCTTCTCCTGCAGCCCAGCCTTGCCGTCGCCACCTGCGCCGCCCGAGCCAGAGCCCGATCGCGCCAGCAGCCTCTCCTCATTCACCTACTTCTTCCCCGTGAACGCCTGCGCCTTCCGGTGGAACCCGCCGTTGATGTGCTCGCAATTCGGGCGATGCCGTCTGCGGCTGGCGCGCCTCGCCCCCCCCCATGTACAGGGAAGGGTCCTCCATCGCGTCGTCAGCAGACTGGCGCCCTAGGATGCGATCCCTGTGACGACAGTCAACCATCTGCACCCTCCTGGATAGCAGCTCCATGCAGGCTGACCCGCCGACGGCAAGCTGGTCGTAGCGCGGGGCGGCTTCCCAGACTCGCATCACTAGGTCACGATCGTGCACTCCTTCATCGTGCGGCTGCGGCCCGCACTTGTGAACCCACTCCGCGTGCCTGGCCCGGGGGCGCTGGTCCTGCAGGGCAAGTAACTTGAAGCGCCAGGCCGTGTTCTGAGGGCCACGGATTGGCCAGCCAAATCAGGATGATATCGAGAGCGTGCGAACTGACTCACGAAAGCTGCGATGTCGAATCCCGTCGAGCACTGTCACCGCTGACAACACGCGGGTATCCAACTTTCCGTCCTCGACTGGGCTAGCAGGGTCGACCGCATGGAGGATGAGAAGCGAAGGGCCGACCCTGGCCAACGCGAAGCCGCCGAGGACCGAGTATACGTCCACCGTGTGAGAAACTAGAGGCTGCTTGACGGGCGTGGTGTCCGTGGCCTTGACGACGAACCAGTCGAGCGGAACCACCGACGGCAGCGCGCCCTTCCCGAACTCACTGCTGCTGCTGCTGCTGTTGCAGGCGCCAAAGGGGCCGACGTTGGAAGAGGATTGCTTGCCGCGAAAGCGGCAGGCTAGCGCTGGCGCTGCTGCCGTCGTCATGCTGCCCAGGCTGTCGGCCAGGCCGCCCACGAAGCTCAGCGCCTCGGCGAGCGCTGTCGGCGCCCACTGGTCGCCGCCCGCCGCACTCCGAACCGTCCACTATGTCCCATTCCTCGACTTTCGAACGGGCAACCCCGAATTGTCGATCAGCACGAACCCGCTCAACGGCAGGGAACAGCAAGTGGGGGTACACGTCGACACCGGGCGTCAATGCGTGCCAGACCTGGCTCGCCAGCGCCTGCTTCGCCGTCGGACGTGTCCCAATGTCGCTCTCGCACTGGTTTGGGCTGCGCAGGGCCGGCAGCACGCGAGCCTGCCATGACTCGCCGCGTCACCACTGGACGTAAACCCTCCGTCCACATCATGCTGCCGTCCCATGAAGCACGCGCACCAGCAGCACGAACAAACACCGCCGACGATAGCCGACAGCGGCCGAACACAGCACGAAGGCAGTCTCGACGCCACCGAAGGTTTCGTTGACAAGGTAGCAAGTGGTCGCCTGGTCGGCCACAGGGCTGAGGTACTCGGCGGTTCCGAACAATCGTGGGCCCCACGCCCGCCAGCAATGACTTGCGGCCCCAGACAAGAAGGGAGGCGACGCTGGACATTCGGCCGCCTGCAAAGCTTGAACATGACGCCAAAGGAAGTTGGCAGAGGCAGCAACAGGAGAGCGCAGCAATAACTTTCGCAAAACATGGGCTCGGAGGAGGAGGAGGAGGAGGAGGAGGAGGAGGAGGAGGAGGAGGAGGAGGAGGAGGAGGAGGAGGACTCGAGAAACACGATCAATTGTAAGCGGGGGGAGGATGAGGAGGGAGGAGGAGAAAGGGAGGAGTGCGAGGATGGGAAGGACGGGGGGGCGAACAGGACGGGAGGGCAGGAAGGAAGTCACAACGGGAGGGCAGGGCGGGAGGAGGGACCCCCCCTCTCCGCGCGCCGCCCATCCTGCTCGGCGGCGTACTCGGCCTCGGCCCGCTCGCGCTCCTCGTCCAGGCGCCGCAGCTCCTCCGCCTTCTCGGCCTCGAGCCGGCGGTGCTCCTCGGGGGCCCAGGCGCTGGGCAAAGACAGGGTCCCCAAACAGCGCTGGCGCTCACGGGCTCTTTTTTTTTTTTTGCTTCGGCTCCAAGAACATTTTATGGGTACGCCGGGGGTTCGGCTGGTGCCTGGTCGGTGTGCGCCCGTGGGCGCCTCGTCGCCCGTGGGTGCCCCAAGATCGTGCACCATGTAGCTTGCACTGCGTAGCTTACACCGCATGGCTTGCATCGTATAGCTTGCTCCACGTATGTCGCTCAGCGTATACTGCACACCATAGCTTACGCCACATAGCTTTCACCACATACATCACGCCATACACCTTGCAGCGCATAGCTTGCACTACAGAATTTGCACCACGCGAACTGCATTATATTGATTGCACCACATAGCTTGCACCATATGGGTGCACCACATAGCTTGGTACAAGGACTTGCTGAGTTGCTTTTGCGATGGCTAGCATATGTTGTATGTATGTGCGTATGCGTATGCTCGTATTCGAATGATGTGAAGGGGGGTTGTGGTATTATGTGCGCTGGTGCACTTTTTCCTCATCCTCATCCTTTCCCCCCTGCATTTCCTCCTCCTTTCCTCCTCCTCCTCCTCTTCCTCCTCCCTCCTTCTCCTCCCCTCCTCCCTCCTCCCTCCTTCCTCCTTCTCCTCCTCCTCCTCCTCTTTCTCCTTCTCCTCCTCCTAATCATCCTCCCTCGGCAAGCTAGCTCCTCCTCCACCCCCTCCTTCTCCTCCCCCTCCTCCCCCCCCTCCTCCCCCTCCCCCTCCCCCGCCCCCTCCTCCTCCCCCTCCCCTTCCTCCATCTCCTCTCCTCAGCCATCTCCTCCACAATATCGTTGTCGATTTCCTCTTCCTGCTTCTCCTCAACCTATTCCTCTTTATTCTCATCTCTCACCGTCCGTCATTTTTGTCCTCTCGCCCCCATTTTCTCCTACGGTCCTTTATATTTCCCTTCATCTCTCCATCGTTTCTCTATTTCATCACTGCGTAGCTCTCCATCCCTTTTGTTCTTACTTAGCAACCCTTCTTCTGGGTGTTCGTGTGATCCGCATCCCTCTCGTTTCCTCTTCTCGCCTCTTCCTCCTCTTGCTTCTTAATGTTCCTCCCGCGCCTTCCTCATTCCTCTTCGATGTTGCGCAAACCTGTGGGGGAAGCGACCACACTTAACATACGCCAAACGGATGTAGTATTCCTAGCTTCTTTCTCCAGGGGCCTATGCTATGGCCGGCCAAGAAGCTCATGGAGAGTCCCAAGGCTGCTCACATTGGGCCTAATCGACCACAGAGGTCCTCGACTCGGCCCCACAAAAAGGCACCCAACGCGACCACGATGACCCCAATATGGAACAACAGACCCCAACACGGACCAACAGGCCCCACATGCTCCTGACTCTGGCCGATGGTCCCAGACGCCGAGTGTTGGATGCCTCTTTTATACCAATGGGCCCCTTCCCCGAGTGCCTCATAATGATGCTGCAACTCCTCCTGGTTGCCCTCACTTCTCTCGTCATCCTTTCCCCCTCCTCGTTCTCCTCTTTCTGTTTTGTCTTTGTGGGCCTCTGGAGAAAGAAGGAACATCGACACAGGAATCAGAGAGAGAGAGAGAGAGAGCAGGGACAGAAAGAGAGAGAGAGGGAGGGATAGAGATATACAGAGGGAGGGAACTATATAAGCATACAAACATGCATATGCGTGTCTATATGTATATATATATATAGAGAGAGATATACTGACATATCCTTATATGAGGAACAAGAGAAATAAAGAGAGATCGAGAGAAAAAGAGAGAGAGAGAGAGAGAGAGAGAGAGAGAGAAAGAGAGAGAGAGAGAGAGAAAGAGAGAGAAGGTCTATGCGCAGGGCACTCGCTATATACACATGCGGCAGGCTGGCGTACGCAGCCTCGACAAAGGCCGAACACTGGAAATCTTTGCACTGATGCAGCTCTCGCCCAGACCGCCCGCATCAAGAGTACCCAGCTGCATGGTAGGGTGCAACCCTTCAGCCGTTCTTCCGCCTGGGCTGAGGATATGCTGTTGATCTGAGCCCTCCAATCTCTCACAACTTTTGCTTTCGGAGCTGAATGTCTTCAGCGCGCTCGCTGTCAAGCATATGCTGCCCCGGGTTGCCGCCACAGGCTCCAATCTTTCTCGAGTCGGCGCCAAGGCAGCCCAGCAGGGCTCGAAGAGAGAGAGAGAGAGCTCCGCGATGGCCCCGATGCAACCCCCGAGATCACTCAGCCTGTGGGGACCAGCGGCAAAGGAGGGCGCAACATTGTTTGCCATTCCCGGCCGCTCGCCATCAATTACTGCAGGTCCGTGCCGTGTCGACCCTGGCTTTGGTTCCTGACACCGCGCTGGATCGTTCAACCTTGAACGATCGGCCGTCTCCGCAACGTCCGATCGTTCAACATCGACCGATTCTGGGCCGCCATCGGCGTTCAACGTTGAACGTCGGCGGCGGGGTCGCCGCTGGTCGACACGACGCGAACCTACCGTATAGAAGCGGCCGGAACCGCTCCTCCTTCGCTTGCTGCAGCTCGGCCCAGATCGCATCGGAGACCCCGTCGTCGCGCGCCTCTTCCTCGGCCGCCTGGGGCCCAGGGGGCAGGCAGGGCGAGCAGGAGCCCGAAACCGGAGAAGGAGGACGAGCTGAATTAGCAGCAGGTGGAAAGGAGGAGGAGGAGGAGGACGAGGAGGAGGAGGCGGATGATGATGATGATTATGATGATGATGATGATGAGGAGGAGGAGGAGGAGGAGGAGGAGGAGGATGAGGAGAAGAGGAAGAAAAGGAGGAGTCTAGAGCTTCTCGAACAGCCGGCGGAGGGAGCCAGTGATGGACTCTTGAACTCGCTTAGCCTCTTGTGGAACAGCGAGTCGATCACTTTCAGCAGTTCGGAGGTCGCACCATCGACCATATCTGCCAGGGAAGGCTTCAGATCTGAGCGGATGCAGACGCGATATATGGCAGCCTAGTTTTCCGCCTCGATCCTCGGTTTGACCTGCAGGCCAATGCGGTCGCTGTTGGACAGGATGTGGGCGGGGATGCCCCAGCGAGGTCCTGCAGTCAAGGACTGGTGAACATCGTGCTCGGAGCGAAGCGCACGGGACAGAAAGAAACTGGGCTGGGGAACTGAGAAACGGGATCGCCCAAATAGTGTCGGTAAAGATAATCTGAGTGAGCCCCCAGTGCAACCCACGAATGTAGCACAACCTGTCCTCGAACTTCCCCGAGGCCGAACACAACTAGCCCGAGGCCGGCCGCGTATGTACGTAAACAAATGACATTCGAACACACCTGGAGAGTCAAAACCAGCTTCCTAGAAAGACGCAATGGCGTTGGCCCGATCAAGGCCGGCAGGACAAACGATGACGCACTTCTTCGGGTTCAGCCAGAGGAACAGGACGTTCAGTTCGCGGCATTTGTCAACAGCCGCATCGCGATCGGAAATGACACCAATTAGTGACTTGAGATGATGTCAGCGTCGTCGGCACATGCGAACGGCCTGGCAGGATGCGGCCGCAAAGCTTTCTCAAGATAACGAACACTGGAGTCGAACCAATGTGTGAAGATCACTCACTCAATTGGCGCCCTTGTTTGACCCCGTCGGACAATAGCAAAGCTATTGAAACTTGCCGTTGGCAACCGATTTCTTTGACCGCATTTTTGTCCAGCTCACGGATGGCGTAGAGGATGAAGCGAGGCGATCCTAGACGCGCGAGGCAATCTATGATCCAATCGAGGTTCAGCTACGGGAAGGCAGCGGCGATGTCGAACAGAAACAGACCAGCACGCTGGAGCCCTTGAAAAGGACAAAAATCGAGCAACATGGCTTCCATTTCGAGAATGCGATGGTGCATGTTGCGTTTCTTGCCGAAGCCCTCCTGAGCGGCCGAGACAGAGAACTGGACTTGGACGGAGAGAGGATGAGCAACCGCAGCTACAATAATCTTGTTGTCGCACTTGGAAAGGGCAATCGGGCAGGGCGACTAGCATCAGCAGAACGAGAGATTCCACCTGCGCCATCCTCACCTCCGCCACCTGCTTCCGTCGGGGAAAAACCGTAAGCGCGGTAGAAGCCGTCCTTCGCACGATGGCAATCGAGCAGGAGGGGCTAGAGATCGAATGCGCAGTCGTGGCAGAGCTCGCCGCAAACAACTCCGCTCAGCATGTCCAGTGTCGTCGGGGAGAGGGGGCGGACTCGCGTTTGGCCTGGTGTAAACCTACGAACTCGCGCTTGGAAAGCCGCCGCTCAATCCCAAGGGGGACCTGCTGAACTTCGCGGGGGATCCAATCTCTTGCTTGACTATGATTTTGCCTGCGGGGCCCAGCGGCGTGAACCTGCCCCCGGTGCCGGGCGGGATTCCAAGCGCTATGTGCCAGAGAGCCATGCGTGGACTCGTCCGGGCCATGAACATGAACGGGGTGAGTTGGCACCTTTGCCAGGGCCAGAGCCTGAGAAGATCGCGAAGACGAGCGGACGTGGTCCGCGTGGGAGGCATTCGGGATCTCGGCAAGGGAATCGCTCATCTCAGCGTAGAGCATGTCGCCGCAGAGGCTCTGGAGGTACTGGTGGAACCCCGCGCGTGCCTGAGATGTCGAAATGTTGATTTTGCAGCGGCGACGCGTAAGGGCACCTGCGCGCGAGTGCACGCCGGCCGGAAGAAGTAGGTAAGAGCATGAAGTAGGAAGGCGGATCAAGTGGATTGGGTCCAGGCCCTCCCAGAGAACAAGAAAACACAGCAACATCATGCCGATTCTTGAAGTAGGAAGGCGCTTGAAGTAGATTGGGATCTGGTAATCCAACAATACCTACTTTCAACGACCGGCGTGTAAAAGAATGTGCTGCTGGGTGCCTCGCGTGAGCTCCAGGCAAATCGCCGCGTGCTGGCGGTCGATCGCGGGGCCGCGCCGGGCGCGGCTGGAGGGGCGGCCTTTGGCGGCGCGCGCGCGCGTTCTTGGATTCCGAGAGCCCGCTCCCGAGGATCGCCCGAGAACCAGGCCTCCTGAACGAGTTCGGCCGATGGATCATGCCATTCGCTGTGCTGGGCCGCCCGCTTAGGCGGCGCGCGCGCGGCGCCTTGTTCGGGGGGGTTGGAGGGCGACAGGGGCATGATCGGACGGTCCGCGACGATCATTAACGAGGCTCACCGCGCAAAGCATAAGAGAGATATCCAGAAGTATGGGGGAGTTAAGTTTGTGCACCGCCTATCTAGAGACCAACGCTAAGGGTGGTGCAGCATCGTGGGCTTCGCACCTACGAGTGTAATC